GGCTTCGTAAAATGATTTGGGGAGAGTCCATCTTTTCAATCGCCTGGAATACCTTCAGTAGGATTGGTATCAGCTCCTCCTTAAATGTCTTGTAGAATTCTGCTGGAAAGCCATCTGGACCAGGGCTTTTTTTTGTAGGCAGTTTTCTTATTACGTGGTCGATTTCCTTGATTGTTATTGGTTTAAATAGGGTCTCAATTTCTTCTTGTTCCAACCTAGGTAGGTTGTGTGATGTCAGAAAGTTTTCCATTTCCTTCTGGTTTTCAAGTTTGTTTCCATACAAGTGTACGTAGTAGTCTCTAATGATCTTTTGTATTTCTTCAGGGTCAGATGTGACTTCATCTTTTGTGTTTCTGATTATGCTTATTTGGTTTTTTTCTCGTTTTTTCTTGGTCAGTCTAGCTAGGGGACCATCAATCTTGTTTACCCTTTCGAAGAACCAGCTTTTTGTTTCATTGATTTTTTGTATTATCTTTTTGTCTTCTATGTCCTGGATTTGGGCTTTTATTTTGGTGATCTGGATTCTTCTGCTGAAATTAGGGTTTTTGTGGTCTTGCTTTTCCAGCTTCTTTAGGTGGCTTGTTAGGTTGTCAATTTCTGTTCCTTCCATTTTCCTCATGCGTGTTTGCAGGGATATAAATTCCCCTCTTATTACAGCTTTTAAGGCATCCCAGAGATTTTGGTAAGATGTTTCTTTATTTTCATTTGTTTCCAGGTATCTTTTGATCTCTATTTTGATGTCATCATTGACCCAGGAGTTATTTAGCATCATGCTGTTTAGTGTCCATGTCTTTGTGGGTTTTGGGGGGACTTTGTTGGTGTCAATGTTTATTTTTATTCCACTGTGGTCCGAAAAGGTGCATGGCAGAATTTCAGTCCTTTTAAATTTGCTTATACTTGATTTATGTCCAATTATGTGGGCGATCTTAGAATATGTTCCATGCGGTGATGAGTAGAAAGTGTGGTCTTTGGATGGAGTGTTCTATAGGTATCAATTAAGTCCATTTGGTCCAGAGTCTCATTGAGGTTCCGGATCTCCTTGCTGATTTTTTGTCCTGATGATCTGTCTAAGGTTGTGAGTGGTGTATTAAAGTCCCCAGTTATTATGGTGTTAGAGTCAATGTCTTTCTTTAGTTTTCCTAGAAGTTGCTTTATGAATGTTGGTGCACCTATGTTGGGTGCATATATGTTTAGGATAGATATTTCTTGTTGATGGAGTGAACCTTTTATCATTATGTAGTGGCCCTCTGTATCTTTTTTAATTTTTGATAGCTTAAATGGTATTTTGTCTGAAATTAGGATCGCGACTCCTCCTTTCTTTTGTGTTCCATTCGCCTGAAAATTTGTTTCCCATCCTCTTACTTTGAGTCTGTGTATGTCCTTTTCTAGTGAGATGGGTCTCTTGAAGGCAGTATATTGTTGCCTGGTGATATTTTATCCATTTTGTCATTCTATGTCTTTTCAGTGGTGCGTTAGTCCATTCACATTCAGACTAATTATTGAAATGTGAGAGTTCATCCCTATCATGGAGTTCTTATTGAGTTATTGTTCTTCACTTGGTTTTTTCTTTTTTTTTTTTCTTTTTTTTTTTTTTGTCTTTCTTTTGCTTTTGGGGTTGATTCGTGTATATTTTATTCTTTTCCCTGTACTCTTGTGAAGAACGTTGTTCTTTTTTCCTTTTCTTCTGTGTTTAGTACTTTCTTAAGTGTTTCATGTAGAGATGGTTTTGTGGCTGCATAAGTACTTAGGGATTGGATATCTGGGAAAGATTTTAATTCTCCCTCACTGATGAAGCTTAGCTTGGCTGGGTAGGTTATTCTTGGTTGAAACTGTTTATCCTTTAGGACTTTGAAGATAGAGCTCCAAGCTCTCCTAGCCTGCAGGGTTTCTGCAGATAAATCTGCTGCTATTCTGATTGGTCTTCCATGGTGGGTGATCTGGCCTTTTTCTCTTGCTGCCTTTAGGATTTTTTCTTTTGTGCCTACTTTATTTAGGCGAATTATTATGTGTCTAGGAGTTGGTCTTCTCATTTGTTGTCTTGTGGGGGTTCTCTGAATCTCTTGTGTTTGAATTTTTGTATCACTGATTAGATAAGGGAAATTTTCTTGAATGATCTCGTGGAAAGTTTGTTCCAATGTGGTCTCTGTTTCTCTTTCTGCCTCAGGGAGTCCGATTATTCTTAGGTTAGGCCTCTTGAGGTAGTCACTCATCTCTTGAAGGTTTTGTTCTGTCTTTTTTAGCTTATTTTCTGTGTTTTTAAGAGTTTGGGTTATTTCTATATTTTGGTCCTCAAGCTCTGAGATTCTTTCTTCTGCTTGGGTAATTCTGCTTTCCATGCTTATCAATTTGTTATTTATTTCATTCACAGTATTCTTTATTACTGTTATCTCAGATATCAGCTCCTTCCTAGTTTCTTCTTGTGTCTCCTCAATTCTTTTTAGTCTCTCCATTATTGTTTTGATATCTACATTTGCATTTTGAGACCCTTCATTCTGGGGACTTTTCATTGTTTGTATTCCAAAGTCAATTTTCTCAGTGTCTGCTCTCCCAGGCGTCTGGGAGAGACCCATACTCTTCTTTTGGTTTTTCTTCATTTCTGTAGATTTTTCTCCCTTTACCCCTTTCCCTCCCCCTCTTCAATTCTGTTTTTGAGGGAAGGTGGGGTTGCTTTTATTTCTCTTCTGCAATGACCTGTTCTTCCTTATGAGGGTCTTTTGGTTTTGTTCACTTTTCCCTCTGCTTTACAGTCTGTCTATTCAGCAGTTTGCAGTCTTGGTCCGTTCAGAGAATCTCACCAGTTCACCTATGCCGTCACCATCTTGCCCCGTCTCTCGAATTTTATTTTTAAAAAGTGAAAAGACAGTCTATAAAATGGGAGAAAATATTTTTAAATCATATGTCTGATAAGGATATTCAGAATATATTGAAGAACTCTTTCAACTCAAGAAAAAAAAAAAAGACAACCCAATTACAAAATGGGCAAAGGACTTGGATAGACATTTCTGCAGAGAAGATATAAGAATGACCAATAAGCACATGAAAATATGCTCAATATCATTAGTTATGAAAGAATGCAAATGAAAACTACAATGAGACATCACTTCACACTCACATGGTTGGGTACAATTTTTTTAAATAGGAAAATAATACTCAGCAATGCACAAGGGTTCCAATATCTCCATATTCTTGTGCATTGCTGATAGAAATATTAAATGGTTCTGTCACTGTGGAAACAGTCTGGAATTTCCTAAAAAAACTAAACATATTACCCATCAAGAAAATGCATCTCAAAAAAAATACTTATATACAGATATTCATAGCTGCATTATTTGCAATTGCCAAAGGGTAGAAACAACTGAAAGGCCCGCAGATGAATGAATAAACAAATTGTGATTTATGTATACAATGGAATATTATTCATACATAAAACAGAATGAAGTACTGACACATGCTGCATAGTAAATGAACCTCAAAAACTTCAGAAGTAAAATGTCTCACCTACTGTTTTGGTAAAAATTCACTTTAGATTACCAGAGAAAGGCAAGAATGGCTAAATATTAGAAACTTTTAAATGTTTACTACATTAACATATTAAAGGAGAAAAAATTTTTCATCTCAACACATAGAAAAACACAATACATATACATAATTGACAAATTAATTTAAAATGTCTTACTATATTATGAAAGAGAAATTCTAAATCAGATAAAGGATGCTTCTGAGAAGCCTAAAACAGATACTTTTCCAAAAGGGTATTAAGAAGATTTCATTTTAAATGAGGTATCAGAAAACACATACTACCACCACTTCTATACTACAGTGTACTCAAGAACCTGGCCAGCACAACGAGGCATTAAAAATGGCATAAAGCATGAAGAGGAAAAGTACAACTGTTATTATTTGCAGTGGCAAACACTAAAAAGAACATACCAAGAAATCATGATTAAAAATGGGAGAAATTAGCAAGCTAACTAGTCATAGATCAATATACAAAAGCCATTTGTCTAGAGTAGCAACAAATAAAAGGAAACACCCCAAAAGTTACTATACCATTTACAATTTCATTTTAAAAATTCAAACCTCTAGGAATAAATATAACAAAGATATGCAAGATCTCCACAGGGAAAAATTATTTTAAAATTGTCAGGACTATTTAATAAGATCTAGATAGATGAGAGATATAACAAGATCAAGATTAGGGAGATTATGAGGGTGCAGATGTGAAAACACTATTTGGCCCTGGAGAGGGTGTGATTAGGAGGTACTTGGATTTCTGCCAGGCCCTCTTTGATTGGAATACACAGTAAAGGCTAATCTTTGCCATCTTTCCCTCCCTTCTCCTTACAGCAGCGCTGAGCAAATCCAGTTGACCTCAGCCAGGACTTGTCTGCTCATCCTGCTGGCACCATGAAGTCTTGGCTGCCTCTCCAGTTCCTGGTGGTGCTCTGCCTAACATCACAGCTGGTGCCTGGAAGTCCCAAGCAGCGCATTCTAAGTAGGTGCTGAGGCTAGGCCTGGGAAGGGAAGTATCATCTGTGGAAGGGAGAGGAGGACAGTCCAACACACCTTGTGGAAAAATACAGTGCCATATTCAGGCACCCAGTCTTTATTGTTGGAAAGATCTAGGTTTGAATCCCAGCTCTGTTACTTACTACCTACCTTGGGCAAAGTGTCAGCGCCTCAGATATCAAGATAGTTGGGAGGAGAAACAGATGCTACCTGCAGACAAAGAGCACTCTTGCTAGACCATGGTAAATGCTCAATAAGTATTAACTATTGTAAATGCTATCAGCCTCATCATCTACCTTAATCTTGCTGCCCCTGGGTCCTTCATGGATGTTTTGTCCCTCTTTTCAAGCATTAAAACAGAGAGAAAATGAAGTTGGTAGAACTCAAGCTGGAATCTACATAACCTTGGCCTTGGAGGATGTTTTGGGAGGGAGAGAAAGAAAGTCTTGCATTTTATTCCACATTTTAGAAATCCAGAAGTACTGATCATTACCAATAACTAGCATTAATGGGACAGTGGAGAATCCATCTCAGCAACCACCACTGCCAAGCTCAACCTAACAACAGCTCTGGTTATGGTAATGTTGACCTTGACAATACTAAATGGGAAAATAACTATTATTCATCATACATGCACTCTTCTGTGGAGAGAGCATCTTCAGAATACTGGGAACTCAGAAGAGGGGTTTGTGAGGTAGCTCATGTGTCTGGGAATGCTAGGGTCTATTTTAGAAGTTTCAGAGAAAGTATGTGGGTTTATAGAACTAAAAGAGGCTAAACAAGCTGCAAAAAACAAAAAAGGAAGTGTCCAGCGTTGAGTTAATTGGAGAGTCAGGGGCTAGAATTTGAGAAGCAGCATAAAGAGACTTTCTAAAAGACTGGTAAGCGGTGTGATGAGGTTGGAACCAGCTACCCAGAAAAGGGGTCAAAACTTGAAAAGTATGATCTCTTTGAGATCGCTTCCCCTACACTGTTTGGTTGAGCCCCAAGCTCTTCAAAGTAGGGACTGGTTTCAATTTACACTGCCTCTGTGAGCTATGGAATGGCTGAGAAGCCAAGAGTAAATATAAGGCAAGTGCAGAGAAAGAGAGGACAAGCAGAATGATTAAAGAAAATTTATTAGAGGGAAAGGAAAGAAAGGCTGACCCTAAAGAAGAACCAGCAGCTTTGTTCTCTTGCAGGCCCCTTATAAAACCCCAGTGGAGGCTTATCGGGCTCCCAGAAGCAGTTAGGGAGTTCGAGCAGTCACCTGGCCTTGAGATGCAGATGTTGGCACTGTTGGGGCCCGCTGTTCCCATGGCCTTGAAGTGCAGATGGCTCCACTAAATCAGTCACTATCAGGATATTGTTAATCACTTGTCTCTGAAATGCAACCTTAGGAAAGGAAACATTGACAGTCAGAACCAGGACAAGTCAGTACCAGGATGTTATCATTCATATAGCTTTGGGATGTGGTCTCAGTCTCGGAAAAGCAGATATTGGCAGTAAAGCAATTAGTACCAGGATGCTGTTAGAGCATGGTATTAGCTCTATGGGCCATTGCAACTCTGTGCTCTGTTTGTGAGGTTCTCATGATGAGTTGTTTTAACTACAACCTCCTCTCCCATCCCCCTAAAACCCTACCAGTAAGTATTTGGTGCCTCTGATAAATTGTCAACAGCTGGGACTTTGGCTTCTTTCACTCCATTTCTGGTGCATTTTACATTACAGTTATAGTTGCAACCTCATTCTTCATTGATTCCTTTCAAATAACCATGATATCCTATAGATCTCCTTCTAATTGCAAATACTTGCAGAGCAATAGACCAGTAGATTGGCAATAGAATGCTCCTTTGACTTTTGCTCCAAAGAAAAGGTAAGTCACAGATACAAAAATTAGGGCCTGGAGGAGCTTGAGGAAAGGGGTTAATGGGACCCATTCTTAGTAATCAGTAATAGAGTAGAGATTGTGATTTGGGGCCTTGGGGCAGAATCTCCTAGGAGAGATGAGTCTTAGCTTTGAACTGAAATACTTAAGGGTGAGGGAGGAAATAGGGTGTCCACGTGAAAACGCTTATTTTTCTCTAACAGTAGAAAGTGGGGCATCCTGGTACTCTGGCCTCTTGATAAAAAGACACCATAGAAGAAAGAGAAGCTGAATCTTTGCACCTCATTCTGAAATCCCCAATCTTCTCACCATAAGAAAGTATTCCGGGAACTTATCTATGAATTTGTTCCTAGTTTTCTGATCCTGTACCTTCAGTTTACTGTATGCTCTTCATCCATTAACAAAACCTACCTTTCGCTCATTCTTCCTATACACAAATAACCCATGCTAGGTTGACCCTAGGGTAAACTATATCGCTAATGAGAGGCTTTACTACTTGCTCAAGACCCCACAGAGTCAGTGCAGGATGAATGTACAAACCTCTTTCTTGCTCACCACACATACCATTCATAACCTGACGTGGACCCAACCTTGACGTGGGACCCAGCAAGTGCCCATATTTAATCTATGGGCACTTGTCTTTGAGCAAATATCCAAACCCTGGTTCTCTGCTCAGAATTCAGAGGAAGGCAGCAGATGAGGACAAAACTTGATTCCACCTCCCTGGACCTACATGAGGAAGGTGGGGTTGCAAGTTTCCTAGCAGCTCCCTGAGGCTTTCTGAATTTCGAATGTTATTATAGCCCAGCCTGTTGTTGAGGTCATTCTCTTACCTGTTTTGTGTTCCAGAGTATATCTTGGAACCTCCACCCTGCAGATCGGAACCTGAAAACTGTACCCAATTCTGTACATTGCAAGAAGACTGCCATAAAGGACTTCAGTGCTGTTCTGCCTTCTGCGGAATAATCTGTTCCTCAAACAAAATTCAAAATCACAAAAAGTAAGGAACTTCTCATGCCTAGTTCTGATCCTAGAGCTGCTAGTGGGAGCCCAACAGATGAGTCTCTTACTAGTCCTCATCTCTTCTCTTCCTTTCTCTTCTCTTCTCTTCTCTTGCCACCTCTTCTGGTTGCCATACTGCCAAGGTTCTTCTTCTTTTGACCAAGGATAATTTCCATAAAAGTCCTGATTAGAAAAGTGTCCTTCCACTCTGACTACATGATCCTCATCTCTTCATCACTGTGAATCTCTGACTCTGTCTCTCTGAACACACCTACAAATGCCTCCATCCACAGTCTCCCCCCGACCCAGAATCCAACTTTATCCTAGGAATACTCTATCTGGGGTTGCAAGCATAACCAAAATCTCAAAGCAAAATTTGTTCTCTGTTTTTTCTTGCCCTCATTTCACCAGATGCCATCCTCATGGAGACTATTCTTCCCTGTCTTGCAAGGATCAAATGAAATCTCAAAAAATCAATATTTTTTATTATGATGTTGTGGGGTACAGTTAAGGGTTAGGTATACAATGACATTTCATTCAGCCACCCTGTTGATAAGAGGTGTTTCCCCATCCCCAGACAGATATTTGCTA